GTCTGAGAATCCATCTGCAGTAGGATGCCTGACAGGAGAAGAGCAACGAGTGCCAATTGCCACTTCCATAGTGCATCAATGACAGTATAGAACTACTCAAGATGCTGTGATCCCCGTCCATAAGATGATCAGAGAGCTGGAGAGCCAAGGGGTGGTCAGCAAGACCCACTCACCCTTCAACAGCCCCATTTGGCCTGTGCAAAAATCTAAAGGAGAATGGAGATGGACAGTGGACTACCGTGTATTGAATGAAGTGACTCCACCATTGAGTGCTACCGTGCCAGACATATTAGAGCTCCAGTATGAGCTTGAGTCCAAGGCAGCAAAGTGGTATGCCACTATAGACATTGCCAATGCATTTTTCTCCATTCCTCTGGCAGCAGAATGCAGGCCTCAGTTTGCTTTCACATGGAGGGAGTGCAGTACACCTGGAACCGACTGCCCCAAGGGTGGAAGCACAGCCCCACCATATGCCATGGACTGATCCAGACTGCACTAGAAAGGGGTGAGGCTCCAGAATATCTGCAGTATATTGGTGACATCATTGTGTAGCGGAACACAGCTGCGGAAGTGTTTGAGAAAGGGAAGGAAATCATCCAGATCCTCCTGGGAGCTGGTTTTGCCATTAAAAAGAGGAAAGTAAAGGGACCAACTCGTGAGATTCAATTCCTGGGAGTGAAGTGGCAAGATGGACGGTGTCAGATTCCCACAGATGTCAATCCCAAAATCACAACAATGTCTCCACCCACCAATAAGAAAGAGACACAAGCTTTCCTAAGCACCATAGGTTTTTGGAGGATGCATATTCCTGAGTACAGTCAGATCATGAGCCCTCTTTACCTGGTCACCCGCAAGAAGAACAATTTCCAGTGGGGCCCTGAGCAGCAACAAGCCTTTGTCCAGATCAAGCAGGATATTGCTCATGCAATAGCTCTTGGCCCAGTCAGGACAGGACCAGAGGTAAAGAACATGCTCTACTCTGCAGCCAGGAACCATGGCTTGTCCTGGAGCCTTTGGCAGAAGGTGCCTGGGGAGACTTGAGGCCGACCACTGGGATTTTGGAGTCGAAGCTACAGAGGCTTTGAAGCCAACTACACTCCCACAGAGAAAGAAATCTTGGCTGCCTATGAAGGAGTCCAGGCTGCCTCAGAGGTAATAGGCACTGAAGCACAACTCCTCCTGGCACCCCGACTACCAGTGCTGGGGTGAATATTCAAAGGCAAGGTTCCTTCCACTCACCATGCCACCAGTGCTACATGGAGCAAGTGGATTGCTCTCATCACTCAGCGCGCCCGTATAGGTAAACTGAATTGCCCTGGGATTTTGGAGGTCATTACAAATTGACTCGAAGGTGAAAATTTTGGTGTCACAGATCAAGAGGAACAAGAACCAGTGACACGTGCTGAAGAGGCTCCTCCCTATAACCAACTGCCACCAGAGGAAACATGCTATGCTCTTTTCACTGACGGTTCCTGTCACATTGTGGGAATGAACCGAAAGTGGAAAGCAGCCGTATGGAGCCCCACATGACAGGTTGCACAAGCTACCGAAGGAGAAGGTGGATCAAGCCAACTTGCTGAACTCAAAGCTGTTCAACTGGCTCTAGACATTGCAGAAAGAGGGAAATGGCCAAAACTCTACCTCTACACTGATTCATGGATGGTAGCCAATGCTCTGTGGGGATGGCTGGAGAGGTGGAAAAAGGCTAACTGGCAGCGTAGAGGAAAACCAATTTGGGCTGCTGAAGAGTGGAAAGACATTGCTACCAGGGTAGGGAGGCTACCTGTGGAAGTCCGCCATGTAGATGCCCATGTACCCAAGAGTAGAGACAATGAGGAGCACCAAAACAATGAGCAGGTAGACCAAGCTGCAAAGATAGGGGTGTCCAAAATAGACCTAGATTGGGAACATAAGGGAGAGTTATTCCTAGCTCGATGGGCCCATGATGCCTCAGGCCATCAGGACAGAGATGCCACCTATAAGTGAGCACGAGACTGAGGGGTGGATCTAATCATGGACAGTATTTCTGAGGCTATCCATGACTGTGAGATGTGTGCTGCCATCAAGCAGGCCGAGCGAGTGAAACCCCTGTGGTACAGTGGGCGGTGGTCCAAGTACAAGTATGGGGAGGCCTGGCAGATTGACTACATCACACTGCCCCAGACACGCCAGGGCAAGCGCTATGTGCTGACCATGGTGGAAGCCACCACAGGATGGTTGGAAACCTACCCTGTGTCTCATGCTACAGCCTGGAACACCATCCTGGGCCTTGAAAAGCAGGTCCTTTGGAGGCATGGTACCCCTGAGAGGACTGAGTCAGAAAATGGGACTGATTTCAAGAACAGCCTTATCAACACCTGGGCTAGGGAACATGGCATTGAGTGGATGTACCATATCCCTACCATGCACCAGCTGCAGGAAAAGTGGAGAGGTACAAGGGACTACTAAAACCCAGTGGAAAGCTTTGGGTGGGGGATCTTTCAAAAATTGGGAGCAGCATTTAGCAAAAGCCACCTGGTTAGTTAACACCCGAGGTTCCACCAACCGAGCAGGTCCTGCCCAGTCTGAGTCCCTGAATATATTAGCTGGAGACAAAGTCCCAGTGGTACATATCAGAGGTTTGTTAGGGAAGACTGTGTGGATCAATTCTGCCTCAAGTAAAGACAAACCCATTATTGGGATTGTCTTTGCTCAGGTTGCACATGGTGGATAATGCAAAGAGATGGAACAACATGATGTGTAATTCAGGGAGATCTGATTGTGGGGTGAAAATGATATGCAAATGCAAAAATGATATTCATTGTATGTTACTGCAATTGTCTGTACATTAAAAACCGTACAGATATAAGGTAGAAGGAAATTTGTAAGTATCGAGGGTGTTAGCAAGTGAAAGATGGAGCTTTCAGTGAGTAAAGTGAAAGGGGGGAATCCTGCAGCTCTGTGGTATGGGGCCTGGGTTCAGTGGTGCAGTGTGGGGATGCAATGAGGGCATGATGAATATTGCTTGTAATTTTTTGGGGGAACAGATGGAGGTTTTACATCAATAAAATGCATGATGTGTGGTAGTATGTTGACAATATGGGGATAAGGGGTGGAATTTCCTAGGGTGACGTTATGATGCTTGTATCCCCATTCATCTGTTCTGTTTATGCTGGATATTTTGTTCTGTGCCTTCAAGTCTGTCTCTGAAGAGCGAATGTTTTGTTTTGGTTTTGCTATCAGCCGCTCCCCCACAGCTGGTGCGACACAGAGACAGGGCAGTACATTGTGCTGCTTTTGCTTTTTGCTTTGCTCTTGCTCTTGCTTTTGCTTTGCTCCTGCTTTGCCCTTGCTTTTTGCTTCTGCTCATTAGTTAGTTTAGTTAAGCAGTCTGAATTTTTCCCTGGACTGTTTCTCCTTTCCCTTTTTTGGACCTACTCAAACCTGCTCTGGACTGGGACCTGGGAACACCAAGAGTTTGCACCTTATGGCTGCAGCAGCTGCCCCAGCACCAGAGGGACTGAGAAAAGAGCAACCACCCCCCAAGAGAGACTTTCTGAATTGGTCATCTTTTTCAGAGTGGTGAAAGAGTGTTGTCATCTGGTACTGTTCATTTTGTGTGCTTGGGAGTGCTTTGCCTGTTAAATAAACAGGTTCTTTCCATTTCTCTCCAAGGAATCATTCCCGAACAGGCTGAGGGGAGGGGTCGTGTGGGTTTGCTTTCTGGAGGCGCCCCCTTTGAAGGTTTCCTCACAGATTTGCCCTAAACAAAGACATAGGCACAGCCAGAAATGTCAGGACTCTGTCAGGTGCCCACCCCTGAGCTGGGCTCATGCCCTGCTCACAGTCCCAGGGCTGTCCAGGCACACAAGTCCTTCCCTTGCACACACACACACAGAGTTCATTGCAGCATGGGCAGGAGCTCCCTGGGCTCCACTGCCACTGCCAGAGCCTGGCAGGGACCTCAGCCCTGCGGGTGTCACCCTGCCCTGCCCTGCCCTGCCCTGCCCTTCCTGAGGTGCCCCATGGCCAAAGGGATAAACATGGGGAGCTCTGTGCTCAGGAGCTCATCCCAGCTCTGCACTCAGGGGTTCCCAGGGGATGTTACTCTCTGGAAGCTCCAGGAGCAGCTGAAGGTGTTTGTGCTCACTGGGTTTATGTCTCCTCAAACACACATGATGTTCAAGGCTGTGGAATGGCCGTGCACTGCAAACACAGACTCCTGACCCCGTCACTTAATGTCCCTCCATGGAGGGAAGAACAACCTCTGTGACCTGGGGTGAGAGGCCACTGCTGTAGCAGTGCTGGCTTTGCAAGGGCAATGCTGGCACAGCCCCCACCCTGATCACTGCCACACTTCTGCTGGTCACTGCTGGTTTCCACTCCAGGACCCTGTGTTGGGCACATCCCTGAGAGCAAACTGGGAAGAGGATTGAAGATTTCAGGCCCTGCACTGGGGAGATGCCCTTGCACAATGGAAATGCTGCTGCAGAGCCCAGCTCTGTCCCAGCAGTGCCCACGGTCTGTCCCTGCCTGCAGTCCCTGGACAGTCACACAGCAGGACAGTGACTGACCTGGAAGAGCCCTGAGGCCTAAAACCAGCACAGGGGCTCTGAAGGGGAGTGTGGGAGTGAAGGAAGGGGAGGTTATGGAGGAGAAGCCCGGGGGCTCCCTGGCAGGGAGGAGAACTGGGGTTCCCTTTTCTGCTCGAGCTCTGCCCAGAGGCAGCGACCCTACAGATCCAGAGAAGCCAAGGAGGAAAGATGTCAGGCACACAGGGCAATACAGAGTTCTTTATTTTGTGTAAGCACATAGGGAGTACAGAGGTAGTACAGATCCTGGTTTATACAGTCTCTCGGTGCGATACTAAAGAAAAATACTAAAATAAAAACAGTAGCTTCAAAAATTGTTGTGTGAACAAATTCACAAAAGTGTAACAGCTGTGTAAATAGCAAAAAATACAGGACAGAGAGTGAGAATTAATGAGTAACACCATAAGAGCTATGTAGAAGAATGAGTGTTTATTGCTTCTGAAAATCATTTGTTATAATTTTCCTCAGACCATTCTTGAGCTCCTGGTTCCTCAGGCTGTAGATGAGGGGATTCAGGGCTGGAGGCACCACCGAGTACAGAACTGACAGGGCCAGATCAAGGGATGGGGAGGAGATAGAGGGGGGCTTCAGGTAGGCAAAAAAGGCAGTGCTGATAAACAGGGAGACCACAACCAGATGAGGGAGGCAGGTGGAAAAGGCTTTGTGCTGTCCCTGCTCAGAGGGGATCCTCAGCACAGCCCTGAAGATCTGCACATAGAAGAAAACAATGAACACAAAACAACCAAAACCTAAACAGACACCAAGCAATGAAATACAAATTTTTCTGAGTTTGGAGTGGGAGCAGGAGAGCTTGAGAATCTGGGGCACCTCACAGAAGAACTGGCCAAGGACATTGCCATGGCACAGGGGCAGGGAAAATGTATTGGCTGTGTGCAGAAGACCAGTGAGAAAGCCACTGGCCCAGGCAGCTGCTGCCATGTGGGCACAAGCTCTGCTGCCCAGGAGGGTCCTGTAGTGCAAGAGTTTGCAGATGGACACGTAGCGGTCGTAGCACATGATGGTCAGGAGGGAAAATTCTGCTGTGATAAAGAAAAGAAAGGAGAAAACCTGAGCAGCACATCCTGAGTAGGAGATGATCCTGGTGTCCCAGAGGGAATTGTGCATGGCTTTGGGGACAGTGGTGCAGATCATGCCCAGGTCGCTGAGGGCCAGGTTGAGCAGGAAGAAGAACATGGGCGTGTGCAGGTGGTGGCCGCAGGCTACGGCACTGATGATGAGGCTGTTGCCTAGGAGGGCAGCCAGAGAGATGTCCAGCAAGAGGCAGAAGTGCAGGAGCTGCAGCTGCCGCATGTCTGCTATGCCATCAGGAGGAAGTGCCTGATAGAGCTGCTGTTGGACATTTCCTGCGTCTGCACATTTCAACCTACAGAAGGAGGAAATACAGGGCAGTGGAGGGGAAATTTCTCACAGAAAAGTCAAAGCCCTTTCTCATTTACTCTTTCCTTCCACTAAATACCTCCCCCTATCCATGTCTCAGAGACCTTCCTTCACCTTTGTTGCTGGAGCCCTGATTGCTGCTGGCCAATGCTGTGTGAGCAGCTGGACCTTGGCCTGCAGAACACTGGGAGTCAGCCCTGACCCCCAGTCAGTGCAGGGCAACAGTGAGGGAGAAGTGCAGGAGCTGCAGCTGCCACGTGTCTGCCAATGCCAGCAGGAGGAAGTGGCTGATGAGCTGCTGTTGGACATTCCTTCACTCTGGGCATTGTGAGCTGTTCAAAGACAACATTGACAATTTGGACAAAGTACCTTGACTCAATCCTATGCTAATTTTTTACACAATGTCTAAAAATTGCTTCTCTTTCTTTAAGGAAATTCAATTTCTCTTTTTTTTTTATTTTTTTTTTTTTATTTGAGTGTAGGTTTGGACTGCTAAATAACTGTGTGTTTTCTGGAAGGGACAGAAGTCCTGTTCTTAGCATTGCTCTCAGGCTGAACACTGGGGAGCCCAGAGGGAAAACAGGACTCCCTGTGCCCCAGTGCAGTCAGACATGCTGTTCCCAAACAGGTGCCATTTGCTAATTTCACCTCCCTCGAGTACAGGTAGTACAAATTTATCATTGTATTTTAAAATGAAATGGCCTTTTTAAAGACTCCAGTATCAAAATCAATCTCTCCAACTCTTCTCTCTTTCCCTGTGCGTCTGGACAGGGAGGGATACCAAGGGTTGGTCTGGCTCTCTGCTGCCTGGAGTTGTGCCTACTGGGAACTGTTCCTCTCTATCCAAGCCTTGTCCCTGCCTGTGCTGCCAGGGCCCAGCCCAGCCCTGGGGGCTCAGCTCTGCCCTGCAGACACCTCCCAGCACAGGGCACTGCCCAGAGGCATCTCCCTGGCAGCAGGGCCTTAAGGGCAGGCCAGACAAACAGAGATGCTGCAAGCCAAGGTGCTGCTGCTGCTGTCTGTAGGGAGAGGAGGCTGAGGAGGCACTTTCTGAGGGAGATCTGAGGCACATCTGCTGATGCCCAGGCTGACAGTGCAGGAGTCTCAGTGACACAGCCAAAGCTGACAGCCCCTTTCCCTTCCCTTGAGAAGAAAGCTGAGAGCAGCCCTGGCCATGCAGCCCAATCTCCACAGCAGGAGGAATCTGCCCTGATGGGGGTGGCTCCTTCCACCTCCAATTTCTCCTCTGCAGCGTCCATGGGAAGCTGCCAGGCAGGCTGAGAGCTGCCCCTGGCAGGTGGCACATGCCCTGGGCTGGCCAAGAGCCCTGAGGGCTGCAGGAGCTGCTCTGCAGGACAACTCTGGCTACAGCCCCAGCTTCACCCCCTGCAGCCGTCCCTGGCAGCAGGAGTCGTCCTGCCCTGTCACTCTGACGGTGCCCAGGGCAGCCCCGCTCTGCAGCACATCCTCCTCCTGCTCCTGTTCCACAGAGAAACTGGGAGAGTCCTCCTGACGCATCCCCCAGGCTGTGGGGTGTGCTGGCTTCAGGAGATCCCTCCAGGGGTGCAGGGGACATTGCCCTGCACCCACAGACTCACCATGCACAGGGCTGTGAAGATGTTTCCCCAAGTGAAGTCTCAGCTCAATGTCTTCCCAATCCTGATTGCCTTCAGCCTGTCTCTGCCTGGCCCCTGTCTCCTCAGTGCCTGCAGGCAGAGCCCTCTGCCCTGCTGGGCTGGGAGAGGAGCTGGTCCTGGGAAGAGCTGTTCCTTTAAAGCTCAGCAGCACAGACACAGCACAAGGACTTTAATGAGCCTCTTGGAGATTTAGTGTTGTTTACATCAGACTCATTCCCTAAGAGGGTCTTCAAAAACTTCTCAACAACTCAAAATTAAATTGAAACTCCAAAGTTTCTTGAAGTTTTAATGGGTCTCACTGAGGGACACGACTGAGAAAATGTCCCCAGGTTCCAGTTAGAGCAGAACACTGGAGGCAGTGATGACAGCTGGGGACAAACAAGGCAAAGGTGTCTCTGGTGCTGAGCAAAGCTGGATGTGTTTGAGGAATGCAAAGGGCCCAGCCCTGAGCCCCAGCCCCTGGCCAGGCAGATCCTGTCCCTCCCTCCTTGCTCAGGGCTCTTGCTGGGATGGGAACTGGCATGTGGGGATGTGCAATGCCAAGGGCAGGAGCATGGGGCGGCCCCTGCCAGGATGCTGAGCAAGGACAAGGAGGCAATGAGGCCCCAGGCCTGCAAGGGTCACTTGTCCCCTCCTCCTGCCTCAGGCCCAGGCCCAGCAGCCATGGCCAAAGTGCTGCCTAAGTTGGCTCTGGCAGGGCTGTCTTGCAGCTGCTGCCCATCCCTGTGCCCTGTGCAGCCCAGGCTGTCCCACTGTGTCCCTGCCCTGTGCCTCTGTCCCTGCAGGCTGTCGGCATCCCCCGGCTGCCCCACCTTGCTGGCCCCGTCCTTTGCTGACAGCTCTGCCTCCTGCCTGCCTCTGCCTGCCCACACAAAGCCTTGGGCTGACCCAGACTCCTTCTGGGAGATGTGTTGTGCCACAGTCCTGCCCTGGGAGGGAAATTAATCTCTCCTGGTTTCCATTCTGTGTCCTCACAGCTTTACTTGGTGACATTATTTCTATCTCAGGCTCATTTCCACTATGAAGAAGATGTCCACCTTTGTAGTCCTCACAGGCTATTCTTGTTTTGTCCTCAGTCTCCACACAACTGAACTCAGAACGTCCACCTCCCATACAGTGATCATGTTCTGGGAGCCTGCAAAGCACATCCTGGGAGATCTCTGGGCCTCCTCAAAGGTGTTCAGCCTTGGAGATGTGATTTAAGTCCAGGACTGGCTGAGTACTTTTTTGCCCAAAGGTTGTACTGGGGAGTAGAATACAGAATAATACACTGTATCTTTCAAGTGACTGAGGGCAGATTTCAATTTTCTGTAAGGATGAAATATTTTATGATGATATGGCAGAACACTGGCACAGGTTACCTTGGAATAGAAACCCCATCCCTGGATGAGGTTAAGGTCAGGGGCTTTGTATAACCTGAACGAGTTAATGTGTTCCTGGGTAATGGAAGGGGAGTTTTTCCAGAGGCTCTTTCAAGTCTCTTCTAGCTCAAATAATTTTGCAATTCTTTGATACTTATATCCCAACTGCTTCTCCACAGGGCTGCAGGTACCTATGCACACCATGCCAGCATTTTAATCTTGCCTAATTCCCAATACTTCCATAAAAAGGAAAGAATTGCCATATTGGGGACATGAATGACCATGTTTATGGAGGAACCATTAAAAGCCCAAAAAGTAAAGAAACTGAAAGGAAGGACCAAAATCTCAGTGCGAAAGATTCACCAAGTGGGACAATGGCAAAGCCTCCAATGATGACCTCCCGGCTGTGGATGGGGATTTCTGCCTTGGGGTCTGAGTTCCAGGATGGAAGATCACTCTCAGGAGGAGTCCCAGTGCATTTCCCTGCCCCATGGCTCTGCCCTTCCTGATCCAGCAGCTATGGGGCAGCAGAGCAGGGGCAGTGCAGGGACAGGGCTGGCTCTCACAGGGCTGTTGTTGATTAGGAATGGTGCTCTCCAATTTACTACTCCCACTACAAGACCACGTGTGTCCCCAGATTTATATTCCCACCATTGCCCCCCCCCCCCCCCAGGGGCTTTATCTGCCTGGCCCTGCTTGATCTCCGCCCACATTTCACAGTCAGGGATAACCTGGAGTTGGTGTCCATGGTTAAATCCACCCCTTGCTCATGAGCTCATCTGGAGGTTGCATCTCTTCCCTGATGACCTGAGGTGTCCAGAAATAACTCACCCTCGTGTGGCCAGTCCAGACCCTCCTGAGACACTTTAATCCTGGCCGCCCCATCCCCGTGTCTGTTGTTGTGATGCTCTTCAGTGCCCAACTCTTGGACACGTGAACATCCACAGGAGGGAGTTTCACAGCCAGCTTCTCCCCCAGACAGAGATGTCTTGCCCCAGTCCAGTAGCCCAGCTGGGTTTCCCTCTGTGCTCCCAACTGTCCTTTTTCCATGGTTCCAGCCACCCCAAAGTGCATTTCCCACCATCCCTGAGTCAGTGCAGAGGTGCAGCGCTGGCCATTTCTCTTGCTCAGAGCTCCAGGGATGGTCCCAGAGCTGCACTGACTGCCGGAAAGGGGACCCCACAATGGGACATTTCTTGGTCAGATACAGACAGGAAGAGTGACAAACTGTCTGTGACTCAGGTTTTGGCCTGGCAGCCCCCGCCGTGGTTTGCAGAGAGCTGCAGTGTGGCTCGACCCTGGCTGTGCCAGGCAGTGCTGGCCTGGGAGAAGGTGTAGGTGCCAGCCGGCCCAGGGAGCTGCAGCATGTGGGGAACAAATCCCTCCTGGCCTCCTGCCCCAGGGTGGCACTGCAGGGCCTCATGGAGCCAAGTGGCCATTGTAGCACTTCAGGGCCCCATGGAATTAAGGGGACTCTTTGGATATTGTGGGGCCTTGTGGGACTGAGGCCATTGTGACACCAGAATCAAGGGGCCACTGTGAAACTACGGGGCCTTGGGGAACTGATACTGAAATCACCCGAATAGATACTTTCTAACAGAGTTTGAGTATTAAAAAGCAGCCATTCTTTATTGCAGTGCTGGTCACTAGGAAGATCATTCCCCCACTTGAGTGCCCCAAGGGTCAGTTGTGCAGAGGTTTGATCACACACACTAATTACACATTCATGAGCTATTCCTCCTTACTTAATGGATAGTTATTACTTTATTTTACATACTTGTACCACTTTTGGCAAGTCCTTACCAGCAGCCAGTATCCTTTTCAGGTGGCTGTTCCTCGACCCCTGCCTTTGAATAAAGGCGTTATGGTTGTTTCCCATAACTTCTGCTTTGTCAGCCTTGCAGAGCTGAGCTGGCATCCTGCTTGTGTTTTGTATGACTCCTCTTTGCCTGAGTTACATCCTTTATCCATTTCTCCAGGGCTGTGCTGTTCTGTTCTCCTGTCCCTGTCAAGAGCATGGGAAGGGTGCTTCTCTGTCTCAGATCAGAGAGGGAACCCCTCTGTGGGCACTGGAACAAGCAGCTACAGGCTGGAA